CTTTTCTTTGTACTGTTTCAAAAACCAACAAAAATCATTGGTGTGGTTGCTCTTAAAGTGCGTTTGGAAATCCAGAAATCCATTGCATATTTGCTGGGTTGCCATTGGATTTTGCTGTTATGCCGCCACCTTGGAGATGCTCTTACCAAGTCAATACTGAATCCCATAATTTAATTTGTCAATTAATTTTATATACAACTGTTAAAATAATGGTTGTGATATTTATCATTAGCTTTCAAATGTTGGTGGAAGGCTTATAATAGCCTCCGATGGTATATGGGATGCTTTATCATCTGATTTGGCTGTCCAGTCTTGCCGAGGTTTACCTGCAAAACTTGCTGCGAGGTTGGTTGTTAAGTTTTTCAGGGTTTTACTAATTCTTCTATGTTTGATCTCAGGAGGCTCTTAGGTCACGGGGTTTGATATTGTTCCGTATGACCAATCTGCCTTACCGCCAATGCCTATCAAGAAACAAAGTTTGTTTAGTTCACTCATATTTAATTTGGTAGGAAATCACATAACTCCCAATCATATCAATGCTTGCAGAACAGTATGTCATATGCCCTATCATATCAACACTGATCGAATATTTGCCCATATGATTGTTTCACTTATTCCTCACAATGCCATCAGTCTAAAATTGATCCTTTGTTTATTACTAATGATGGGTTCATTTTAGTCTAAACAATTACACCTGCACAAACTCATTAGTAAACTAATAGCCGTACAAATTCCTTCAGTTTAGCCTGGTGTTTACCTCATGATAGTGACTGCCTACTGTAAAGTTCGATGCAGACAATCAAATGGTTTTAACTCTGAAATGCTGAGCACACCCTTAGTCATGCCTTGTTGGATGGAATATAGTTATGGTTTAGGACTTTAGGTTTCAATTGTAGAGCTGGAATCTGGATTTAGGTCTTTCTGTGTAGCTACCACTGGATACGCAGAGCACTGTGGAGATTGTCTTGTTTCTTGCCTTTGCCCGTTTCTTGGTCACGGTCTTGAGCGTGGGAGCTTAGCTTGTTTTAATTCTTTTGCATGTGGCCGTACTGAGCCTTTGGTTCGGTTTCCTTTCTGGCTGCAGAATATCCAACCGGAGCAGTGTGGCTATCCGAGATTTCGTTTATCCTGTGATAGCTCAAACATGACAGTTCTTGAGCTGCCTAATTTTGCTCCCTTAACTATCAAGGCTAAAGACTATGCCACAGAGGAGCTATGGCTTAATTATCCTAGTGACTGCCTCCATTCCTATCTTTTGACCTTGAATCTCTCTGGTTCACCCTTTGCTGGTGTTTATTATCAAGATTTTACACTGTTTAATTGCTCGTTTGATTACAGAACCTATAGGTTAAGTCCCATTGCTTGTTGGATGGAATATATATATATATATATATATATATATATAATACAAAATGAAAATAGCTAACTTGAAGAACATTTGTGTACCCAGTTCATGAAGTATAACCTAATTTTAGCAAAAATATGTTATAAAAATAGCTAACCGTAATATGTATCAATAATGAGCAAAAAATTTTAAAATTTTAGTTTCATTATATACCAAAGAGTCTGGTTTTATATTAAGATTATAACAGTTTTAATATTTATTGTCACTAACAATACATTATATGTTTTCGGGTTTTCAACATACAATCCTTAGAAAGGTAAAGAACGATGAAATACGAATAGTTGTTCATAGATACTTAGCTTGATTGATTAGTTGCCTTATTGTCCCTGTCAACAGGTTTACATTGTGTATACGGGAGCGAGGCAACATGATGATTTAGAGTTTATCACATCCACTCATCATCATACTGGACTTGGAAGGTATGCTTAGTTTTAGTGTGTTGCATTCTAGAGTTGTATCCCCTTTTCTTGCTAATTGTTTTCCATAATGTTTTTCAAATTAGAATTGTTTTCTAAATTGTTGAAATAATTCTAGTAAATGTATGTCATTACATCTTGCTACCATACAGAACACATAATTTACATTTATGTATATCTGCTATGAAAAGTTTGAGCAAGAAGATTATTAATATAGTTATATAGAGCAACTCTTCCATTTAGAAACTGGTTATACAGACATACATATATACATGCATATACATACATGTGTTTGTGTGACAATATGCAAATGGAAAAACTGCACCTTTTGGTAAACCTATGAGATTAACTTGTTTTCCTTTCATACATATTCAGAATGTCAAGGAAACATTTATATACAGAATCATCACCTTGAAATCTAGTCTGTGAAGGAAAATAAATCGGATTGAAGTTAATCAAGATCTTATGAAAAACTAAATGAAGAACCATATACAACTTTCATGTTTTCAAGATTTAGGGTCCGTTTGAAAATCTAAAAAATGACTTCCAAAAGTATCATGGAGCAATCTGCTACTCCCTGGTAGAATTTGTAGCAGGGTTATGCAAGTTGCAACTAGTCTCGTTGAATTAGGGCATAAGAAAATTTGGGGTACCTTGAATATTTTTATTATATCTCTCATATAAAATTAGATTGAACTTATACAAAATTTTATGAAAAGCTAGAAGTATCTACATTTTTTATGTTTTGAGCATCCTAACAAAATTTATCCATATATTTCTTTTCACCAAATTCGTAGTGGTCATAACAAAAGCTGGGGGTTGAGGTATAGTTCTTGGCTTGTTGAGCAACCCTAATTGCTGTAGAGAAGATAAAAAGATTAGAACTCAGAAGGGGAAGCAAAAATGGAGCAAAATGGCAAAGAAGACAAGGAATATCCACGTAGTACTCAACCTGGAAACCTTGTTATAGCCACCGATGATGATAACCTAAAGGACATCTTTCACAGTTTCACTAAATCAGAACTTCCAAAACCCCAGTCAGTATATATTCTTCCCTTCCACTTTTGAATTTTATTCATCTTCTTGTATATATGCATATGCATGTGTGTCTGCCCACATATTCAGATAACCGTACCCTAGATGCATAAATGTGCTGGATTCCAATTTCAAAAACTGTTCTTGCAGGCCGTTATTAACTATGGTGCATCTTGGTATGTTTTGAACTTCCATAAGGCTTATTATATGTGCTTTGCTTTCAATGCTAAAATCAAAGCTTCAGTTGAACTTGAATTTAGATGAATTCTGCTTGAAAGATCTAAAATGAAGTTTTTTTTAGAGGAAAGGGAAGATAATTTGTTCGTTCTCTTCTTTAGAACAATGTTTTATACTGGCATTGACCTGATTTGTTTTTGTTGTGTAAATATGTTATAAGCTCAATTTAAAAGTTCTAATTGCACTGTCCTCTGGGGTTAGCTCCTTGAATGTGGATATCCAATCTGAATTTTATGTCTGAAATTGAGAAATTCTTCTGATGCTTAATGATTCTGCATTGGATTTAGTATATCCATTGAATTTGCATCTCCACCACCTGGTCTGTGCCTCTGTGGTGGGTTGTGCCGGTGTGGAGAGTGGAGTGATATGACCTCAACTTTGACCTTCAAAATGTATTTGGAGTTTGGTCAGGCGGTTGGCTTTCTTGGTTTGAGCTAGTTAGCTATGGATAACCTAGATTGGTTTATCTTCTTGTAATCCTTTGCCGGTCTAATGCCTTCTTGGTTTGAGTCGGTCAGCTATGGACAATCTAAGCTGGTTTATGATCTTTTGCCGGCTAGGGTCACAAGACGGCGTTTACCTGGTGCACAATATAGTAGTTGTGGGTTTCCCTCGTCACTCAAAAAAAAAAAAAAAAAAAAAAAAAAAAAAAACTTGAATATGGGCTGTCTGCAATCTGGATTTTTTCTCTCAATTTGAAAAATTCTTCTGATGGTTAATGATTTGCAATGGAGTATTTCCTATGAGCTTGCACCTCACCTCCTAGTTTTCTGGTGGTTTGAGGAGTGAACGAGTGATGTGGCCTCGTTAAACTAGACTCTCAAAATATGTTAGGAGTTTAACATTGATAGCACATCCCACTATATTCAGGATATAAATCTTTGAACACAGATATCCTGTTTGAATTTCTTGGTCTAAAATGGTGATTTCTTGTTATGTTTATAGTGATCCTAAACTCCCCCCTTTGTTTCCAAAGTACAGATAGCTTAAAAGAACAAGGAAACAATTTTAAGCTGATTGTCTGCTAATTATGTGCACTGAAATAAGCCACTTTCATCATTTTCAGGTGTGGTGTTTGCAGCCAGATGCTTCCCGCATTCTCTGAGTTGAGTTGAGTAACAAGTTCTCTAAACTCTCGTTCGTGTATGCTGATATTGACGCTTGTCCGTAAACTACTCTGGACATCCGGTACACGCCAACTTTTCATTTCTATCGAGATGGCGAGAGGGTTGATGAGATGTTCGGTGCAGGAGAAGAGAGGCTGTGGTTGCACTCTTAGAGGGGAAAGCAGTGTGTCATTCAGTGACCAGTGTTAGAAAAACATCATAGATGTACTATTGCTGTTATCAACTACTGTAATCGCCATGTTTTTTCTCTAATTAAAATTTAAAAGCAAAAATGTCTCTGAAGGTGTTTGTTAAATGGCTGATAGCTGATTAAGTTAGTTGGGTTAATTGGTTTGACTGTTAGTATTAGTTGGTTGTAAAAAAATGTTTGGTAAATTAGTTGTTTATTTTTAATTTACACCATACAAACAAAATTGAGATTTTAATTTCAAAAATTTTTTAATCCTTCCTACAATCCTACCCACCCACCCCTTGTCCCTACACTCGCATTAATTAGTTACCAAGTACAACTCTCCAAAATTAAGAAACACAACACTTTAGTCGACCCAAATCGAATAGTATATGCAAAAGAAATATAAATTGCTCTATCTTTATTGGATTACGAGGGAAACTAGCACCAATTAGGCAATTACCAAAAGGTATGCTGAATAAATGAGGAAGTGATATGCAGAGTGCATCAATTTAGAGATACTACTACATTAGAATTTACTCCTCCATGTACTATATATAGGATGTGCTTTACACTTTACAATCAATAAACAGACAGTTAATCTCTTCACAAGAATCATTTCATTATAATATGCATCTAAATTTTTTAGACTTCAAATTTACAGTATGCTTTTAAACATAATTGATCTGAGAATGAAATTGAAAACTTATGTAATTATTGTTGGAATTACAGTAATTTGTGTAGGGTGCTTATAGTATTAACTAACGCTTCTGGAAATGGAATATCTTCATGCAGAAAGCAAACATGAGAGCAAAGAGCAGAACAAATGAAGAGAGAATGGCTGCAGTTTCTCCCAAAAAATCACGTCTGTAACCAAAATAGGTTCTCAAGAAGGTCTCCACCGTGTCAGATGTCTCCAAAACATCCTCAACATCTCCGAACTGGGAAGCCACCAATCCGTACAGTGTCCAAGAAACAGGTGAGAAGAGAAAATACCATCTCCACCACACCGGAGCATGCTGTCATGATATGATATGATATGATATGCAAGAAACTAAGTGTCATGGCATATATATATATATATATATACATATGTTTTTGGGGGCTGGGGATAAACTAACAGATTGAAATGAAGAAAGGGGTTGAGCAAGGTAGCTTACAGGCCGTGGAATCAAGAAGCCGGAGAAGAGGTTCCATATCCCGAACGCCCCACATGCCACAATGGATGCAATGTCCACATTTGGAGTCATGGCCACTGCCATCATGCCCAGGAAAGTGGAGTACAAGAATGTCAAGAACATAACGAAAAGGTACCACAAAAACTTCTCGCCTGTCCACTCGAATCCAATCATGGAATACACTATGGTGCCATATACAACTGCTTGTATCAGAATATATGGGAGCTCAATCACAATCTGCATACCAGACTAGAATCAGAAAACACCATGCATTGCATATATATATATATGGACTATTTTATTATTTAAAAATGTACCATTGCAAAGGCGAAAGGCATGGTGGAATACATCCCTGCAGCTCTTTCTCTGTAAAAAACTGTTCTTTCTACTACAACTACTTGCTCAACAGTGAACGCATTTAGAGTACCGATGAAGAGAACAGCTGCATACATGGAACCCATGGCATTGAACAAGTCCTGTGCCCTACTCCTGTGAATTGAAGTGGCACGTACTGATGAGAACTAATTAAGCGTGAATTGAAGTTGAAGATTAACTAACTAATTACCTCTTTCCACCAAGATCCCAGAACATAGTACCAAACAGCAATGCAATAACAGTAGTGAAAAGGGCTCTAATTGCAGTGTACGACGTGTTGTGCCAGTAGGACCATCGTTGTTTCTGTAGGCATGCTTTGAATTGAGTGAAGAAAGGGCGTGAGTACTCAGTTGGAAAACTTAGATCCCTCGAACCTGGAGGAGGTGTGCTCAGTTCTTTAACCAAACCCTGGTTTCTCCTGCAACATTACATACATTATTATATATATATATATATATATATATATATATATATATATAGTGTAACAGTAAAATCCAGAAATAGGAACTATAATTGTATTCAAGTTGTCTGTTTGCAACTTACTGGTACAGTTGTGACTTTCTGTACATCTCATTGAAATTAATCCCCAGAGCCTCTTCCTTTTCACGCGTTGTATTTTCCAGAACCCATGTAGCAGGATTATAACCATTTCTTATTTTGATGATGCCTTCAATGCTCTAGATGCAGGGAAAAAAGTAGTCCATATATATGAATAAGTAGTTATTATTTATGATTATGAAAAAAGACAGTAAAAAAGGCGTGGCATGGAACTTACCTCAAAATAAGCTATTAAATGGCAAGAATGATGCCCTAATGGGCCAACATAAATTTCCTGCCCTCCTAGTGTCATTAGGAGCAACTGCATTGTTAATACAATTTTAGTGAGTGTATATTAATGGATTGAGGTGAAAAAATGTATGAGCAGGAGGAGGCCGGAATTACTTAATTACCTCATCAAAAGCCTCAAATATGTCGATGCTGGGCTGATGGATTGTGCAGACAATTGTTCTACCAGTGTCAACAATGTTCCGAACTGTCCTCATAACTATTGCAGCAGCCCTTGCATCAAGGCCTGAGGTTGGCTCATCCATGAAGATGATAGAAGGATTAGCCACCAATTCAACCGCGATGGTCAGCCTTTTCCGTTGTCCAGTTGATAGACCATTCACCCCAGGTAACCCAACCACCGCTTCTCTCAAAGAGGTAAGTTCAACCAACTCCATCACCTCCTTGATGAACAACTATTACCAACCACCATATATTCGCCATTAGAAAACCCCCAAGCAATTTTGTTATGAAAACAGGAGGAGGAAATGATCCAGTGTCCCAATTAGCATTAATTTATACACTAACCTTTCTAGTTTCACAAGTTACTTCTGATGGTAAGCGGAGCCAAGCTGAAAAAATCAAGGATTCATACACTGTAAGGTGAGGAGAATGGATGTCGTTTTGTTCACAGTATCCAGAAATGCGAGCAAATGTTTTCTGCTTCTTTGTGAAGCCAGATATCGTAATCTCCCCTTCAATATATCCACCGGTTTTCCTCCCAGCCAGGACATCCATCAGCGTCGTTTTACCTGCACCACTAACGCCCATGAGAGCTGTCAGAACACCAGGCCTGAAAGCCCCGCTTACACCTTTCAAAAGCTCAAGACGATTATCCTCAACTCCCTCAATCTTCATCTCCTGTAGGTAGATTCAATGTTAGAATAATGCTTCAACTATACATACTTAACATTATATTTACTGGCAGTAATATAATATTACCTGTGGCATGTCTACACAATATTTAATGTCATTAAATGCAATGGAGTGTGGTTCAAATGGAAGGATCATCCCATGCTTTCTGTTACTCATCCCTGTCATACCAGGACGGACGCAAAGCTTTTAATTAAGAAGATCAACCCATCCAAAAACATAAATGTTTGTGAATCAGATCGAGCTTAGCTTACCATCAGATACTCTCTCACCAACTGAGTTATCGGATCCTCCATTGCTCACATCATGTTCATTGCTATGTGATTCTGCTGAGATGTTGGCACGAGATTGTGCCAGTGCTGCAAATTAAATGATATTACACAAACTAAACTATCAATATATGGTTAACTAAAGAAAGCTAATGTAGAAATATGTTATGAAATACTTTACGTCTTAGCTTTGCCAGAGCTAGAGTATAAATGAAGATTGAGAAAATTGTGAATCCAATCAGTGCCCCTACTCCAAGCCAGTACCAATACGCCTCGGGGAAAAGCCCACGATACTTGAGTACTAGAACACCAAATGGTTCTGATGAAAACGGAAGGACCTTTGATACATTAATGTAAATGCATGTAAGCTACTCTGATCTTGCAGAAATACAACATAAACCACTAAAAGATGAAGTATAGAGAGAGTGGGAGAAAACTAAAGCTCACAGTATTCCAACTTTTCCCAAGGAATTCATTTACTGCAATAGCATTTTGAGCATACATCAAAGGTGATATCCAATAACCCCAGATCCACCATTTCTTCACATCATCTGGAAGAACAATGAATACAAGACTTATAATAAAATTAAACAGGGTGCATTATATTTTTGTAAAAAGCTAAGCAATATAATATATACCTCGCGACAAGATAAAGCCACCCAAGGCGAAAAGCACAAGCATTATGAATGAACCGACCACAAATGCATTAGTCATACTCCTGCCTACTACTGCAGCAGATCTAAATAACACAGATGCAAGTTGTCTGAAAATTATGAGTAAAACCCACATTTTGAGTAACCTGCACTCGAAACACACAAATGGTTATTGCACTGAAGAATATGATAATTGGGGTTGGGGTGCAACACATTACACATACAGTTAGTTAATTACCTTCCAAAATTTGGATCATAACCAATGACATAGTATGTGGAGAATACCCAGACAGAAACTTCTATACATGTTATGGGAATCCTGAGGATAAATGTAGGTATAGCATAGGCCCAGGCAGGATAAAATAGAAGGTCCCTTTGCTTGTAGAAAATAGGAAGCCTAAAAATAGTAGGGGCTAACTCTTGTAATGCACTAAACATGATGACAGTAAGGGTAAAGAACAGGGAGCTCATGTAAATCTGTGCACCAATTGGAGAGTTTCGTTGCATATTGGTCCTTATGAACAGTGTCATTGTAATCAATGCCATAAGCACCACCTAAAAGAATGAATAAAAGCCCGCAATGAGTAAACTACTATAAAGTAAAAGTAAAAGTAAAGATAGGCAGCCAGGGTAGAAAGTACCCACCCAACCAACTTCAAATATATGAAGAACACAGTTTCTCTTCATCAGCAGAACTTCTCTGGAAAAACAAGATTTCAAGAGCTCCATCTTACTAACTCCATATGTTTTGGTAGTTAAAGCAGCGGGATGACTTGTACTCTTTTGAAATGGAGTTGCAAGCTCATCTCCTAAGTTGCGGCCAATGTGAAAAGATTGAAATGCTTCAGAAAATTCATTTATGGTCACGAATCTGTAAGGCTTGTTGTCCTTACGGATCCAATACTGCATTTGATCTTTCCTTGATGTTACCTGCAATCAAAGAGTAATAGGCTAAGTGCAGTTGATCTTTTATCCCTGCCAACTGCCCAACACCACTACTTTCACTTACTTCTTGCAAGAAATCAGCCACTCCTTTTCTTTCTGGACATCTGAACCCCAGACATTCAAAAAATTCAAGCACACAGTTACATGGACCCTGATAGACGATCTGGCCTTCAGATATGAGAATAATATCATCAAACAGATCATAACACTCAGGTGCAGGCTGGAGAAGAGCAATCACTGCAGTTCCATGGAGAATGTGTATATAATGTTTGATAGATTTTAGAATTTGGAAAGTAGTTGAACTGTCTAAACCAGTTGATATTTCATCCATCAACAAAACATTTGCTGGTCCAACAAGCATTTCACCTATAATGCGGTCGGTCACTGAGCTTGTTACAATATATACCTCAGCACTGAATACAAGTATTTTTTTTAAAAGAAAAAAACATACCTGCAGTAAGCCTCTTTCGTTCTCCTCCTGACATACCACGTAAATATTCATTTCCTACAATTGTGTCCTCACAGCCTTCAAGCCCCAAAACCTAAAAATTTAAATAATTAGGTAACTTCATAGATATGCTTCATTTAGGAAAAGAAATTATATTTCCTACCTTGATGATGTAGTCTACTATTACATTTGCTTTCTGACCATCTGTTGCAGCTGCCTGAAGCATTGCACCAATAACTTTAATGACTAGAGAAATCTTGTCGCTGGTTTTAATATAAAAAATCACATACTGAACCAACAACTATATTAACAAGAAAATACATGAAATGCCCTATATCTATCTATCAGATACTCCATTGGAAATTCATAAAGACAAGTGGAACACACTACCATATTCCAAGGGTCAAGGGTCAAGGGTCTTAATTCTTAAATGATTAGCTTAGCAACTTATTTGAAATATATAAATATAGACTCTTCATAGTGGTGCTTCTGTATCTAAGCGCTCGTATCCAAGACGAAGGCAACTTGATGCATTTCATTACATATTTTGATCTCTTTATTGGACCCCAAAAAAAAACAAAAGTACAAAGTACAAAACCGAAAAATAAGGTAACTTCTTTGTCACCTTCATAAAAATATCTATATCAGGATCAGGCCTAATATTTGCTGCTTTTTCTCTTCTAGATAATTCTGCTAACATTTCTGCAACAAAGAAATAGAGAGCACCATTGGCAATAAATATTATGGAATATGGTCTGAATTTAACAAAACAAATCAATTGAGTACAGTGATTCATGCTAACCATATCTGGAGCCAACACCTTGGCATCTTGCAGAAAAGGCCAGGGTTTCTCGGGCAGTCATTTCTGGAATATGGAGGTCATGCTGGCTGATGTAAGCAGCAGTTCTCATGGGTACAAATTCATTCATTTCATGCCCATTGTAAGAAACTCTTCCAGAAAACTAACAATCAAAAACAAAGTATTCATAATAGATTCTAATCCAGAAAAGTTTTTACTACTAAAGAAGCAATACAGGGCAAGTTGTTGTTTACTTCCAAACTAGGATCAAGTTGCCCTGCCAATGCCAGCAGAAGGCTCGTTTTCCCTGAACTTGGAGGCCCTAAGAGCAGTGTCATTCTGAAAGCCATCCAATAAGTAAATAATAGATACCGGCTCAAGCAAACAGCAAAAAAAAACACAATTTGATACTAGTACCTGCCAGGCTTGATGATTCCACTAACATCACGAAGAATAGAATTGTGTTTTTTGGTTGTAGGCAGGTAGAGATAGCTCAATAGCCCCTGTTCAAAGGGATAGCAATGTTAAAATGTAAAACAAAAGAGCAGATGAAAAGCTGGTAATACAGAAATGCCTACAAATCTATCTATCGAGTTACCTCCAGTATATTTAAGCAAAAGTTTGTGACAGAAGGCAAAGCTCTTTTTCCTACATAAGCTTCAGCACCCACATTTAAATGCTCAAATCTCACCTCAACTTTAGGAATATCAATTGCAACCCTGCCAAAGTAAAACATGTATATATGTAAATCACAGAATTCACCTAAACTATATATATATATATATATATATATATATATATATATATATATATATCCATCCAAAGATGAATCATGATATTGTCTTAAAAGAAGAGAAAGTATTATATATATATACTCTTTTGTCTTTCACTTCATTATCTGTTTCCAGTTTCCACTTAAGGAATGGATGTCAGTCATACCTTTCCATGCGATCCTTAAGTTTCAATAGGAAAGTCTCATTATCCCTTTCTGGAACTTTTATCAACCTCTCAAGGATTTTTTTCTTTTCTTCATATCCAATGTTGTTTATATCAACTTCAAAGGTCTCTCCTCTTAATCCAGTCATCAACCCCTTCTTCAAGCGGTCAAAGGTTGGAACTTTCTGAAGTGCAGCCCACTTCAGTGCTGCTTCATCATCATCATCTTCCTGCAGCCGCCGGGACGACTTTGCAAAACCATCCGTCCCATTGCTCCATAAGGACGAACTGTTTATTCTAAAGCTTCCGCTTCTTCCACGAGAATCATTAATCTCCATTGCAACAACTTAAGAACACAAAACAATATAAAATGCAACAACTATATATAGATTCAGTTCATGCCCATAACCCCAAGAAAAAAAAAAAAAAAAAAAAAATGAAAAAAGATTCATTCTTTTTACAAGTATATATGTACTAAGCTAGCTAGCTAGGGTTCATATTGCAATAAGGCTGTGGCCTGTGTGTAGTCCACCTACAGTTAGGTGCATTCATTACATACAGTAGGTCCAGTAGGACTACTTCACCGGAAATTCATGCCGTGTGTCCATACGGTTCCTTGGCATCTTCATCACCTTAATGAGAGAATGTGCAATTACCTGATATTTGACAAGAAAATGACAACAACAAGTGTGAGAAGGTATGAAAATTGGAATGGCCCATGAAATATCTCCCAGTTAAACTTTGAAATAATTTTTTTTTTTAAATATAAATGTTTATACAGCGTTTCATATCCTTTTAGCATCGAGAACTTAGAGAAAGATTCATTATATTGTCATATTATCAAACACCTTGTACGACCTTCCAGCTAAAGCTTTACTGCACATGATCGATTGAAGAGCCATAATCAAAGCCACCGTACTCGAAATATTTTACCATAGTTTTTCTTTTTCGGAAATTATTTTTCCTGTCGACGACATTAATGCAGTAGTTGTTCATTATGAAGTACGTGGCGGCAAATTTGATTTTCAGACATGTGAGCTGAGGTGATAAAAGTATTTTTTTTTGAGAAACCGCATTAAAAAAATAAAAATAATAAAAGACTCGTACGACCGGGTCTTCTAAAAAAAAAAAAAAAAGTAAAAACAAAAAGTGTCAAATAATTACTGAATTTTTATACATTGTGTAAGTACAATTGGATCATTAAAATTTTAAATATTGTGCAATAATATTTTTTACATGTTCCTTTCAAGTTTCTCTTAAATATGATATCATAGTGTCAAATTATATATATAAAAAATTATTTTAATTAAAAGTAAAAGAAAAAAAATGCTAAAAATTTGTCTTTTTTTTCAAACTCCTTCTCCGCCTCAAGGGCACGAGCAATTGCGATCTCGTAAATCACATTAATAACGTCAAAACCACAAATCTCTTCAGTTTCCTTACTATCATCAATATCGCCAATCATATCAAGATAAACATCGTCTTCTCCGTCAATATTGCCACCACTATAAAAATCATTATCAAAATCGCTATTAGAATCCAAATCATTATCAAAATCATCATCACTATCATCATTACAAATCTTAACCAGGTCCTGGTTTCGAAATACTGTAACGAAAGGAACATAGGAGAGCTTCAAATAATAATTATAATATGACATTATGGCATCATATTTAAAGAAAATTTGGAAATAACCTATAAAAATGCTATTTGGACATTTTTTGAGTTTTTAGTTGTCCAATTACATATTTTTTTATTTGATGATTCAATTGCACAATATGTAAAAGTTTAGTAGCGTATTTGTTTACAAAAATAATTCTTTAAGTTAGATTTTTTTTATTAGATAATGTCCTAAGACAAAATTTGATGAACATAACATTTATGTAATTTTAGTTTATCATCTCTAGTGACATAATGGAGGTTCAATTCTTATCCATCATCGAAGGAAGAAAAAAAAAGTTGTTATCTCCCTTTAATTGATCAAAATTAGGAAAATACATTTTGTCCTCTTAAATTCTCTTAATGTGATTTTTTTTTTTTTTTTGAGTACCTCTTACAGGGCGTTTGGTTGGAGAGAGAGAATTACGTGAGAAAGGAATTACAATTCCATGGGGGATGAATTATTGGGAATAAAGTGGAAATTTAAATTCCAGTGTTTGGTTTACAGGAATAAAATTAGTGAGAATTTCAATTCCAATGTTTGGTATACATGAGAATTGAAAGAGAATAAGTAGTATAAAGTCCAAAACGCCCATTGTTGTTATCAGGCATCAATTTTAGGTTAAAAATGGAGGGTAGTTATGTCTCATCATTATCTTTTTTCTTCCTAAAATCCATTGAATTAAAATCCCAATAGGGTGGCATGGGATTTTAATTCCATGAAAATGAGGGAATTGCAATTCCGTGGAATTACAATTCATTCCAACCAAACTAAGGAATTGAGTAACCTTTGGAATTAGGTGGGAATTAAGTAGGAATGAAATTTAAATTCTCTCCAACCAAACGCCCTGTTAATGTGACTTAATCATTAGGTGCCTGTAAATTAGGGCAAATTATATCATGCACCGCGGGGCATAATCGATTATGCACCGCGCATCAAAATGACGTCGTTTTATTTAATGAAAAGAAACGGAATCTGTTTCGCGCTGTTCCGGACCGTTCTACAAAAAAGAACTCTGTTCTTTAGTTTCATTTTGTATACACTGCAGTTTCAGTTCAACACAACTACAGTTTCATTTCGATATAACTACAGTTTCATTCAATATTTATACATGCAATCAAATATGTGAAAATGTTATTTAATTTTATTTTATATACACTATAGTTTCATTAAAACACAACTATATGATCATTTCGATATAATTACAACTTCATTGTACAATATATACTCAAATATGTGAAATGTTATTCAGTTTCATTTTATATATACTGCAGTTTCATTTCACCACAACTACAGTATTATTTTGATATAACTGCAGTTTCATTTGATAATATAAAAATAATACATGATGCAGTGTCAGTTTAGATACACTGTAGTGTCACTCCGTTAACACTAACAGTCTGCCATTTCTTTACTTAAAGAAACGGCACCGTTTTGATGCGTGGTGCATAATCCATTATGCACAGCAGTTCACGATATAACGACTGGTAAATTAGCTGGCCCACCAACTTATAAAAAAATAAAGTATCCAATCAAATTGTATCATGTCATGAAGGGATGTTAGAATAAATACATTTTGGGGATGTGAGTAACATTACTCTTAAAATTATATAAAATTTACTCAAATTTGAAATTTTAGAGTGGTCAATTGATATTTAACAATTTTGTTAGGAATTTGGAAAATGTAGCCATTTTGATGATGATTGAATTGGTATTTAACAAGTTTGTTAGAAATTTGGTAAATATAGTTATTTTGATGATATTGAGGGAGAAAACATAGACGTAAATATAAAAGGTGTTTGGCAATTAGTTATTAACGGGTTAGTAATAGTCAATTGTATTAACTGTTTTGACCATCTAATAGTGTCGTATAACTAATTGTGTTAGTTTTTTTACCAGTTGATAGTATTAACCGTTTATAGAAATGTGTTTTTTAAATTAGTTATTTATTGTTAGTTGATAACAAATAAACTAACTTATAATGACATAATTCTATTTTTTATTTAATTATTTTAATTTTTTTTTTTAATTTGAGATACATACCATTTAAAATAATTTAACTTCAAACTTTATTTTTGATTTAATATAAAAAATGAGTTGTAAAAATATGTAAATAATTATATGAGTGGACCAGTATTGAATAGAATCATATGATGTTACAACTTAATTAGAGAAGAGAAGGATTTAATTGAAAACATATACGAAATAAAAATGTTTTATTTCCTTCCATTATTTTATCTATTGTTATTGTTTTCTTTCATATTGCATGTCCATAAATTAATAATTCACCACTAATTAAAAATGAATAACATTTAGTTACTAACTAATTACATGTATTTCATAGGGATAAATTGGATGGAAAAATATAAAGGCTATATAGCATTCCTCTATACAAAATTCATAATGCTAATTTGCAAAGAAAAGAAAGTCAATTGAGCGGGCCCCAATTAGATCCAAATTGCATAACCTGGATCTTGACCCACCATTAGACCCGACCCATTTCTAAACCCTTTATCCCTCTTTTCCGGAGCCCTATTTGCTGCGGCGGCAATGTTCGATAGCGTCCGAGTTCCGACGACGGGAATCAGTGGCAACCGGAGTTGGAATTAGGGAAAAAAATGAGAGAGGAAGAAATAGAGAACGAAGAAATTACGATCATCGGCGGCGTTGGTTTGCGGCTTCATAACTGAGCGACGGTGAGAACAAAACGACCTCCGATGGCATTCGACGGAGGTTGAGTGAGATTGACGGTGCTCTTTCTCCCATTTCTTCGTCGGAAGTATTTTCCGGTTGCCAATTGCAGTCATACCCTTCAATTTCAGGTAATTACATTTTATGCCCGCATTATTTTCCTGTCATTCGAAACTGGTCCCCTTTCTTGTTGCACACATCAGTGTCCAGTGATGCAGCTCCCGCCCATAACCTCATTAAATTCTACAATCAGAAAGTTGACCATTGATATTGGATAAATCTCTATCTCATAACTTTTTTATTTCATTTTATTTTATTGAATTACACATAGGATAAACACTACATTATGGTGACATTACCTCTATTTGATAGAATTTTTATGATATCGTATATTTTGATAGAATTTTATCATATATTTTGTTATAAACAAATATATAATTTTGCCAAATACAACAATGATATTGCATAGACATTTATGGTAAATTTTTCTTTATTTTACAGTATTATGACTTTCTTACATATTTTCGTATATATTACTATATATACCACTGGAAAAGTGATTAGATATGAATAATATTATTTGATTTAAATTTAAATGTTTGTACCAAATATTGTAACAAACTCATTTAATTACTATTTACAAATTAATAGTCTTTTATCATAAACTAATCAAATAAGAGTATATATATTTTAGATGGTGCGGAAATCGGTCTAGAGTATTTGCCCAATGAGACACGGTTAGAATTTGTAAAAATATGAAATGGGATAAACAAATTACACGACGAAAATGTAATAAGTGTGGAGTTTTTGTGTATTGATTGTTGTAATTAAATGCTATTACATGTGAAAGAAGTGAGAGAAGACATATAAATTGTGTCCCCACAAATACTGCGACCAACTTGTATACATTAAGGCATAACATACAAGAGTTGTGACAAAGTATAAATTGACCATATATGCACTATTGCACTACTTATGTCCAGGAACTGTTAAAAATTTATTACAACTACTCTTGTGATAAAAGGTAAAATCGCTCACCCAAACGCCCCTTATAACGATTATTCTTGATTTTTAAACTAGATTCATAATTTCTATATTGTAGATTCATAAAATTTATACTGTAAATTCATAATT